TCGGCCATATGTCGCTATATATTTCATGTCTATAAACTTGCTAAAGAAATGAAATATAATCATGGATTTTTAAGCCCAACTGTTCTGGTCCTCTTCGCATTGCAAATTAATGGAGGTGCTGAAACAAATTGTATTTTGCGTTCTTGCTCAGTGATCGAAATATACACATTCTGATCGATAATGAAACAGACAAAGGTAGAAAATATCGCGGAAGGCGACATGCATCAGTAGATGACACTAGAAGAAAGATTTTCTGGAGGAATTTTAATTGTGATGAAAAATATCAAACCTTTCTTTCTATATTACCATCTTGCCTGAGTAGTCTTTTGCTGCACATTAAATGCAACAATTATGTTGCAACAATATGGAGACAGGCTGCAAAACAAATGATCAAACAAGATGATCCTGCGATACAAGGCTGGAATGAAGATTTATAATGTGAATGGGTATCTGAAGCATATCCAAAGGATATATGCGAGCTGCTGATTAGCCATCCAGAAGATATCTATCCCGTTCATATTATGAACTTCGATTTTGAATCTTCATATGTGTTTTTAATGTGTTTTTTAATGTATATTTCCAGATGTCTTGAAAAGTACCATTATAATTTAACATTTAGAGTGACGAAATTCGTACTGAACGAGAAAGCAATCTGATTAAAATACAGATGTATATTAAGTTTCGTTTTTTTATACTTTCGATGGCACGTTTTCGTTGTAGGTCCCCGATCTCAAACCCAACCAGCTCAGTTGGGTAACCAACCATATGGGACATTCATTAGATGTCCATAAAATATATTACAGAGCAACATATAGCGTATTAGAAAGGGTTCAGATTGCTAAAATACTCCTGCTGCAAGATAATGATCAAGTACATAAATTTGTTAATAAATCTTTCGTAGAATCCATCTATACTAATGTCCAAAAAAACGTATACACACTAAAAATATGCCTAAGTTTTGTTTAAATCAACAAAATGTGATAAAACTACACTGAACATGTCCCGTGCGTCCAAACTCACTATTTCTAAGCAAATAAATGGCAAAACAAATGGACATGTATCCAAATACCACATACAATGGAAAATTGACTTTGTTTGAAGCAGGGCGAAATGCACAGTGTATACTTTCTTTTGGACATTAGTATAGAAGGTAATTATCTTTCTGCACACAGAATAAATTTCTATCCTGAATGGCCGCCATATCCAAAAATTAGTATATTGTTTTGTAATGCGGTTCTACTTTCAAATCTGTCATACACACAAAGACTAAAAAACCTATTTAATTCCATTAAATGGAAGCAGAATAAATACTTCTCAAAATTTTCAAAGTGTTTTCGACTAAAATGGTTGATTTAGTAACTGAAATGTTGGTCAACTAGCTTAGTATCTGTTCTCAAGCGGGGCCGCTTAGTATGGATTATTATTTGATGGTATGAATAGGATACGACATTCACTACCCTAAAAATATCTGTAATCTGTTCATATACTAAACTAAACAGGCTAAAATTATTTATGGACTTTGCTCCTTTTTATTTAAAAGATGGCCCCTCTTATATTGGGTTATAACTATCATGATTTGCTGTTCATTATTTTTATGATGTGTGAGTCAACTGGCGTGGTTTCGAGTCCCCAGATGTACGTGACAAGGAGTACGCTCGCCTGTCCAGTCTTGTAGGTTTTCTATTGAAATAAAATTGAACCATGTGTTAGTCCCGAAATTACCTAGTTGTGTCGTGTTGACGTTAAACCCCATTTTTCTCTCTCTCTCTCTCTCGCTCTCTCTCTCTCTCTCTCTCTCTCTCTCTCTTTTATGATGTGGCTCAAATTTTTAGGTATGTTAGAATAGCAAAAAAAATCAAATGCTTATTATTCAATAATGGTTAATTGCTTGTAAAAATTATTTATCATATCACAAAAAGGTTTAGCCAAAATTTTGTATTGTAATTTGATTCTATTTCACTTTTCTCACAAATAATGATCTGATTATTTCAGATATAGTTGACGAAAACCTAATGACCCTGTTATGAATGATGGCAGAAGAAGAAGATAGTTTTGAGCCTGTCCGCAAACAAAGAAAAAATTGTCATAAATCTATTGTGAAGTGGTCTGAAGAAAATGAAATAAAAGTTATTTTCAAAAAATATTTTGAAACCGGGCAAAGGCCTAAACCTAATGCATGCATTCAAGCCTTAACTTTAAGCAAACAAAATAAAGGCTTCATTTACAAAGGTCAAAAGATACCTTTAAAAAATCTTCCTTGATAAACTTAATACGGAGTGTTGAGTAATTTAGGAAAATGTTTATACATTTTTAATAATGTTCATTTATCAGACCAGAATCGCGTAAAAAGAAAAAAAAAATATTTGTAGGGTAATCTTGGCCCTTGATAAGACCATAAATCAAAATCCCTTGAGTTTACTTGCTATCATTAGTTAACAAACTTGAAACCATATATATACTGCATTTTGTGTAGGTTTGTTTTTCAAGGCAACTGTCCATCATTATTTTGACAGATAAGTGTTTATCCCTGTTGGTGCAGAAATGTAGGAAGTGATACCCATTTCGTTCATTCCAAATATGTGTGTAACGTGGGGTGGTCCGTCCCTTTCAAACTTATCTTATTAAGGCTAAATATTTTTAGGTATTCATATTCACAATATATTCAAAATTTAATTTACTTGAATATTTGAATAAATTGAATTTTCAATTGCTTTCTCTTTTTCTTGATGTTCAAGAAAATTGAGGAGAGGCAGATTTGAAGTAGATTGGGTTATAGAATTAACTTATGCTGGGGTGTAATGGGAGACAAATATAATAGAGGTTGTTGCCTTCCAGCTTCCTGGACGTGTACTTTTTCTGGTTTGCACTTCAAGCATATACCATCAATCATTTTACATTACTTCCCAAATCCTATAAGCGATTATAAAAAATTATCACCCATCCTCCTAGCTGAACCTTCCCATGATTTATGTGCCGATAGGTCAGATGACTATCTACATTTCAACTACCAATGGTGCCGGACGGGGCGGGACTGACAATTACAGCTGTCTAGTTGTTAGGATGGGACAAAAAAGACGAGGTCCTATGTACATATTAGCCCAGTCGGAGCAGAACAGTATGACATTAAACCCCGTTTCATTTCCATTCCCAATGCCTATCATTATATGTGAGAGTTGATAGGATGCTGTGTTTTATGAACTAGAAGTTAATCCTGCCAACAATTCTATGTGGAATGTTTTTTTAAACAACTAGAAGCTGATGAATAATCAAATTGTTTGGCACAAAATTGCTATTGTTGCCTGCTGTATCCATCTCTTTTTAGTCGAAATCTGAATATTTTTGGTATAACTGTCGTCTGGGGTCATGGTCAGACGTTTTAAAGTTTAATATACTTGTGCGTTAAGAATAAGTCGGAATATCAACTATTTGTGGGTGGAAATGGTCAATTATATACAGGGGTGAAAGGTGTGGGGGTATTTTGGCTAATGTTTACTTGTGGGCTGACCATTGAGAATAAGGGGGCTGAGTGGTCGAGTGGACTTACACATGGCTTTAGACCATAAGAACTGTCATTGGATCAAGTGGCGTAGTTTCGATCCTAAGCTTGTAAGTGACAAGAGTTGGGTGGCCTGCCCAACCTCGCGGATCCTCCGGTTTCCTGCCACTGCTAAACACAACTACACACAAGCGAATTGTTGAAACAAAATTGTATTATGTTAGGCCCAAAATGACAGTTTGCGTAGAGTGGTCGTTAAATCCCTTTTCTGACACTCTGTTGGTTGAAATAGCCCATAGTATAGCAAGATGAAAGGTGTCAAACTAATAAGCTCTATTTTGAGGGTTATTATAGCTCGATTTAAACTCGTGAATATAACTGTCAATGGGTATTACTTAATGGCCGATTGAGAAAAAGCCACTTTTTATTTTATTAACTAACACGTGACTCTTTATTATCCGGGTAAAGGTTTTTCGAAGGATATTTTAGAATATTCGGATGCATTCATGATACTCTTTGTCATGGATAATATCTACGGGCTAGGGATCGACAATTGCAATACGTAATAGCAAGCGGGTCGACTACGTATACAACGATCGCTTTCCGTTAGAGAAATGAAAATGAAATCAGGTATCAAATGAACGTGCAACATAACCACAGTTTTTAGGATGCTACAGGTACACCCTCCAGCAGACACCCCGCAAGTAAAAATATTCACTAGTATCTCTTGAGCAGGTACGGCCGTCGGTCCGGCGTCCACAATTGCCTGTGGACGCTCTAGAGGCTAAAGATCATACCCGATTGACTTTAAATTTATACACAGTGTTTAAGGTCATGAGACGAAGAAGACTTGATATTCAGCGATTTTCGATAATTACTGTCCGAGTTATGGCCCTTGATCACTTCAAAAAATCTCGTGGACGCTCTAGGGGCTAAATTTATTATCCGATTGACTGTAAATTTATACACAGTGTTTAAGGTCATGAGACGAAGAGTTATGGCCCTTGATCACTTCAAAAAATCTTGTGGATGCTCTAGAGACCAAAGTTAGCATCTGATTGACTTTAGATTGATACACAGAGTTTAAGGTCTTGAGATGAACAATTATATTGAATTTCAATGAATTTTGATAATTTGAACAGAAAAATCTATGATATTAAATGTTTCGTATACTAAACGTTAGCATGGGGCAGAACTTTATAAAAACCAGACAAATTCTAATGATTTTCTGATAATTACTTAATGAGTTGTTGTAACTCTTAATCAGATTTTAGTGTATTATAAATGTTCCAGTACCGAAAAAGTAAAAATATGCGACAACTCCTGTTGACGGCCCGGACGATTTAGCTGCTGTGGGCGTATGTTTCGTTGCCTGGCAACCTATCTTTAATTCTAGTTTGAGGGTGTTTAGGATAGTTTACGATGTAAGTAATAACTAATAGTTGAACAACAATCGGATAATGCATGGCAACTATCCCCCAAAAGCTTAACAAACGAACAATGGTATATCTCAAATAAAAGCTTTTATTTTTTGAATGAGGGAAACATATTATCATTTAGTAAGAGTGTGACAAAAGGGGTTAGTTAATATGGACAGCTTGAGGGTAGTAACTTAAACAGAAGCACAATATTTTCTGAAAGTTCTGAAACATATAATTAATGTTGATTTAAAGGTAAAGTTGGTTCATTTTTGTCGAGGATAAGACACACTCTTAGGAAGGTGTAAAGAAACATTCAAATCACTCGGAGTACCACTGCCTGAATTGCAAGAAGGCCGGCTACCACCAATATCTGAAATAGAGAAAAAGTTAATAATTAGGCCTAAAGTTAACTAATTAAAGTAAAAATTATAAAATTGTAATTAATGGATTTTTGTTTTGAAATAGGTTATTTACTAGTATTTCTGGTGGCTTTATTTCATAGCGGAGACTCTTTCTAAATCTGAGGGGCACCACCTGCTTTGCTGGGTCACAAGTTAAAAATATGTAATTAAATAATTAAGACCCTTTCACTGAACATTGTATATCTTGGACAAACAAAGATGATGGTGTCAAACAAATACAACGTAAACGTAAACCGACAATGTTGTATATGATTGTGTATAGACCTTGAAGTTTTTAACCCAGAGCCGATTTAACGTATATATATATATATTTAATGGGACTCTGAAGCCAATAAAATGAGGGTTTAATATGGACAGCTTGAAGGTAGTAACTTGAACAGAAGCATAATATTTTCTGAAAGTTCTGAAATATATAATTAATGTTGATTTAAAAGTAAAGTTCGCTCAACATTAATGTCGAGGATAAGACACAGTCTTCGGATCACTACCCTAACCCTGATAATCAAAACTCGAACCTGGTGGTTTTTCAGGGGAACCAGGAGGGTCAGCTGAAATTGAGAAAAAGATAATTAATAGCCACAAAAGTAACATATTAAAGTAAAAATTATAAAACTGTCGTTGTAATTAATGCTTTTTATTTTGTACTAGGTTACTTACTGGTATTTCTGGCGACTTTATTACTTAGCGGCGACTCTTTCTAAATAATTATTACAAAACCGTCAGAGAATATAGATACCTTCATAAAGAACGTATAACTATTTTAACTAAACAAAGTTGGGGGAGTCAAACAAACACATCGTAAACGATAATACACCGATAGTGCTGTATATAATGAACATTGTGCTAGAGTTTATAAAGGGTTTGAATTGACCATCAATAGTGTTTAATCCAGGGGCGATTTGACGTATATCTGAGCTATGACATACCTAACATAGTTAGCAAAGACCAAGAATTAAACGGTCTACCAGTAAAGCATGTCACGCATCAAAATGGACTGGTATTCCATACATTGGGAAGACAACCAATGCGGCGAATAAAACACATGAACGCATTTTTACCATGATGCTAGTGGATGACATGGCGCTGCATGGGTTGAAAGTAGTATAACTCCGAAGCTGGAATCGGTAGTCCAACGCCAACAGGGTTATGTTACTCCTCGGCCCGAGCTACCCCGTTACACCTTTTCAGCCTCAGGACAACTCTAGTGTAGCCGCCAGTAAATTAACAATTTACACAGCTCTGACATGTTTGCAAATCTGTTGATTATTTCGTTAAGAAATATCCTCAAAAGGATATATGTTTCCATGTTCAAAACAATTAAATCTGATTAATGCTTGTCGATTATGGTGAACATAAAATGCTTGTCGATTATGGTGAACATAGTATAGAGTGTACTTCAAGATTGCATTTTCCCATCACACACTAGCAGAATAAACTAAGAAAACCCCAAGAATTAGAACATGATCAAACTTTAGACATCGGCCGTGGCCCCGGTATAAAATTTTTACTTGAAGTCTGACTAATGAAATTACTGATGACCCACAGCGTTCGTGGAAATGGTTAGCGTATTGTCAATACTATGAGTATACTATACTAAAATCATTCAGTCGCCCATGTTGTAATTCCCGATTTCTTTTTTAAATTTCCACTGTAAAACAAGGTCGTACATAAAACGAGTATCTATTGTGTTTTGATTGAATATAAATGGGGCATGCTTTCACCTGTTGATGTCAATAGCAACTGAATAAAACATGAATAGGTGGTTAAATATTTCCCACATCAAGTAACATCCAGAGCACAAAATAAATAATGGAAAAATAATGGAATGTTGAAAGCTACGTAATTTTAAGTACTAAGCTTACAGACTTACTAAGTGGATTTGACGGTAGTGGATAACGATCTTTCGATTTTCTTTCTTCATCATCATTGCTGCTTGAAGTATTCCCCATTGTGTCTTGTAAAGTAAAAAATGGTAATATAGTACAGATTTATTAGCCTTTCCTTACATTGTGCGTTTTTGGCTTGCCTTGAGCATGGGGTGTGTGTGTGTGTGTGTGTGTGTATAAAACCCACGAAGTTCGGCAGGTGCCCTATATACTTACTATAGGAACGAAGCCACATTTGAGTTCGTGATAAAAAATTAGACGAGACGCATCTGGCGAGTAGTCAATGGTCAATGGATTCAATCGGCACAATCAAGCCAGAGATGTTTTCAGTGCAACACATTGTTTCTTCTATATTAATACAATGTACAAGGAAACCGGAGGACCCGGTTAAAACCCACGCGGTTGGGCCACGTAATAGCGGCGATTCGAAATCAAGGCATTTGACTCAATGATATACCTTGTGATCATTCGCTTGCGGAGAAAAACGGTGGACCAGGAGAAAACATTTGAGGTTGGGCAGACGACTCCAAACCTTGTCATGTAAAGGTGGGGAATCGAAACCATGTTACTTAACTCAATGATACACCTTATGATCTTCGGCCATCCAACCTCCTTACAGAATTCGCAGTAATATTAGATAGTAAATTATGTCACGTATGACAATATCTTTATAGGTTACAATGTGGTTTGTCGTGGATGTACTGAATAATACATATATATTCACGCTGGTATTGCTGAATGTTTCAAGGTCACAAGTATTTGTACATTAATAAATATAGTATATATGTTATTGTTGTTTATTACAGTTTATGACAACTGGTGAACATGTTTTCAGATTGTGGTACTAAAGTTTGATTATAAACATTTGATTTTATTGTTATTTGTAAGATGTATGATAGTTAATATTTGCCAAGGTTAAGTAATTCACATGTCTGGTCGCAGGTATGATTGCATTGAATGCATGTGAACTGCCTGTTTTGTTGTCGTGATTTGATTGGTTGTGAGTGAAACTGTAGTATACGTGGTGGGAGATATGGATTTATATTGTCACTCTAATAATGGATTTTGGGAGAATCACACATATTCATTGGTCATATCATTCATGAATCATTCGTAAATATATTTCAACTAAATGGGTGTTAGACTGTGTGTCTCGTTGGTTTTGACTGTGTGTCGTTATAATGGTAATCTGTGTGATTATGAGCAATAATTAGTACATTTACTTGTGACCTGATTGTGATTGTGATTCTGATAATGTTAATGTGCTACGGATAGTGTTACCTATATTGTTACTCTGGTCGTTATTGTTCCAGTTAGTTATTTTATGGCAATTAAAAGATATACACGAATAACTCATCAACCTTATCATCTTAATCATCTTCTTAAATGTGCCGTGGAGAAGAGAGTCAAATAGTTGGTGACTGCTGTGTGCGCGTGTACCACCAACTCATCGTCATCTCATCAACATATAAATGTGATTAGTGGTATTTTGAATCGGTGGAGACGGTGATATTATTAGAGAATAATTACATAAATATATATATATATATACATATTATAATTGTATTGATATATTGTAGTTATATAAAGATATTTAAATTTTACTGTGTTTTGTTAATGTGAACTATAAGTACATGACTGTCAATCCGCCCCAAAAAGAACCAAAGGTCCAATTTTGTGACAAATTATTAAACTGGATTTAATTTTGTTTTCAATAGAAAATACCTGCATTGTGGGATCAAGATGCCCGCCAAGTAAAGTCATGTTACAGACAAGCTCCAGAAAATTAATCTAAACTGTGTTTCAAAATGTGTAAGTTATTCATCAAATTTTCAAAAAAAACAAGAGGAATACTACTTGGAATTTATAGGATTTACTGTGAAATGTTTCTGTGGAATATTTGTTTAGTATTGTTAAGGATTTAGGATTTTGATACTCGCTCAACAGTGGTTCCCATCAGTGTGAATCTAATAGGACCAGTGAAACTGGGGATAACAATCTATTAATTGCTGTAATTTTATGAACCGATACGTTGCTGTTAATGTTTGAACAAATTGTCCTCATTCCTATCCCACATTACCTCCATTCTTCACCTTTCATCTCTTTTTGGTCGGAAGAAGAATACAAGCGACAGTAAAGAAAACCAGAAATATGAAATACCAGTAACTATGGATACTGATGATTATTTTTACATTGAAGATAAATGTTGCAGTAATACCAAACATTTATTAGATGAATATGCTTATCGTATCATGAAAAATATTGTATTTGCATACTATGATGACAGCCAATTCAAGATAAGGGAAAATGTGGACTACTTTATAAAGAATTATATAATGGTTGAAATTTATTAATAGATGTATATGACTCAACAAAGAGAATGCATATACAAGGCGGAGCATGTTCTGAGTGGTACTATGAATATTTCCGTTATTTAAGGAAGATTTTTGTGAAGATTTGTACATGCTATGTCAGAAACCAGACGGAATGAAGAAACGCGAAATGGTGAACAGACATGTGTAAAAGACATTAACTAAATCCAGTAGTGACCCCTCACTGCACGTGGCGAAAGAGAGAGAGAAATGGGGTATAACGTCCACTCGACACAAACTAGGTCATTTCGCGACGAACATATGTTTTTTTAAATTTATGTCAATAATTCTCTTGCGCGTAGGGGTCTTTAGCAGTGGGAGGAAACCGGAGGACCCGGAGAAAACCCACGAGGTTGGACAGGCGACCCTACTCCTTGTCACGTACAACCAGGGATTCGAAACCACGCCTGTTGACTCAATGACAGGCTTTATGATACAATGCGCACGTGCTAACAATTCGGCCATCCAACCCACATGTTATGGAGAAAATTAGAACCGAAATAGAAGAGTTGGTACAAGTGCACTTACATTTTTTGAAAAAAATATGTATGAAGAATTATTTCTGCCCTTGCATCACCAGTCAAAAAGGGGGCATATTCTGGCGCATTCCTCCCTGGTTGCCTGACTGTAGCTGTGGAAATTTAAACCCCTCTTGTTAAACTCTATTGAACAAATGACAGGGTTAGGGTGACTAGAGATCAAGCACCAAACAAAATTTTCAATGTGAATGTAAATCAAGCTGCATTACACTTTTACAGATAGATCAGTAATAGATGTACTTGTTACAAGTGAAAACTTTCTTGTATGGATTTGTGTATATTGTTCGAATATAAACGTGACAGCCAAACATATGCTGACAGTGACACTGATTTTAATAGTGATGATGATATTGATGAAATTATGTGAGTAGGCCTACACCTGTATACATGTTTTTTTGTAAGCGGTTTTTAAATATGTTTTACTTAATGTACTGTACATGTCAATAAATTTTCATATTATATTTTGTCACTTTATGCTTACTATATGTTTTTTTTATTCTAATTCATTTCCGACGGTTTCCCCTTGTCAGTGGTGAAGGCGGAGGGACTGAAACAGCACAAGGACAGCAGTCTAGTCGAGGTCCCGTGTATACATTGCTGTGCACGTAAAAATATCCCTTGGCAGTTGTAATTCGATATAAACGTAGGTCACAGTGCTGTGCCCAGGCAAAATTTGCCTTATAGCACACTGTATGGCGTATATGCCCATCTTCATTAGACTATTTCATTTCTTATTCATTTTACTTAGGTAACTGTTTGTTTTTCTCTTATACCGGTATGTACTTTTATTTACTGGTTGGTATATATCTTTCAATTTTGTACAGTGTATATGGGCACAAGACCTGATCTCTGTGTAAATACATGTATTCTGTGAATATAAGAACCTGAACAGCACATTAGAAACCGTTCTCCAGTATTAATACACTTTATAAATGATGATGTTATTATTATTATTATATACATTTTTTATTAATACTAGTGGTGTATGGTACTGAGTACGAGGAAATTTATATAATTGCATTTGTTTATGTTTTTTTAATTTCTTTCTTTAAAATAAATTTAATCTTATACTCTCTTATAGGGGGTTGGGTAGCCGAATGGGTAGCATATGTACGCTGTATCATAAAGTCTGTCATTGAGTCCACTGGCGTGGTTTAGATTCCACGGTTGTACTTGACTTGGAGAAGGGTCGCCTGTCCAACTCCCACTGCTAAAGACCACTACACGCAAGCGAATTATTGGAATCAAATTGAACCAAAATTACCTAGTTTGTGTCGTGTGGAAGTTAAACCCCATTTCTCTCTATATATACTCTTATAATAAGTCTATTGTTTTCTTTTTTAAAAAAATAGTAAAATTGATGAAGGTGAATTATTATTAATTGTATCGATCAGATCACATGGTATTATTATTTTTGTTTTTTCTTAACATTATATATAATTATAAGACCGAACCAGTATTTCAAGCATGCCAAAAATTGTTTTCATCTGTATTAAGTATATATTTCTCTTGGATATTGTTTCGCTGAAATAGTTTTGAAGAAATACTTGTTTCCAGACAATAAAAGATTCATTCAATCATTGGTGCTATTTCCCAATTATTGGCCATATTCATGCCACAGATCAGGGGTAAGTCGTCTTTACCGTGTCAATGCAACATTTAACAGGTGGTATTATCCAGTAATCCCGGCATATTTGCAGAGAAACTCTCTCTAACAAATGTAAACAATCCAACGTGTTCCGTCTCATTAAAGATATCCCCTGGTCTATTTATGGCTATTGACCCTTGATCTATGACGATCTTTGCATTTATGGTTTCTGATTGGCTTAGAATTTGATTTTTTCACCCGATTATGGCTACACTTGACAAATATAGTTCGAGGCGTAATTCGAGTGCAAGACGTATTTTTCAATGCATCGGAACAGGAATGTATGCGACGGTGACGGCCTACTGGTTAAATTATGTAACAAAGCGTCAGATGTTCACCCGGAATTTGCTGTGACGAGATGAAACGATTTTCGGGGCTAAATCACAGCCTATGAACAAGTGTGATTTTCCACCAGGATAATGCGCCAGTGTACAAATCAGCTGTTGCCATGTCAGCAATCCATGACTGTGGTTTTCAACTTCTTCAGCATCCATCCTACTCTCCTGATT